TATCACCGCGGAGTTTTGATGTGTTAGGTACAGTGGTGCCTAAATTACTTTGATTTTATACTTGAGTAAAAGTAGAAGTAATTCGCATTAAAACGACTTGAGTAAATGTAAAAAGTACTGGAGAGAATACGTACTTGAGTAAAAAGTACAAAGTATTTTTCAAAAATACTTAAGTACAAGTAAAAAGTACAAGTACTGTATAGAGTATATCGAGGAATGATACTCTGGATTAGACTAATAGACCACCAACAATACGATAGTTACATACCGCAATTTTACCTTCAGGCCTCTTGGGATTTTCAATTTTTTATTAAATTTTAATTAAGCACTACTGGGGGATTATGATGGGTGTCTACGGCTACAAGGGATTTCAAAGTTGCAAATTAATACCAATGACACGCAAATACGTTTTTCTAATGAGAGATCACACACAGCAATTACAACATAGCCAGTATATATTATAGTTTTATTTACAAAACATGGACGTTTTTCCTAGTTCTGACAATATTAACGAACAAAGACAAAGGCATAAAACAGCTTACCTGTACATGTTTTCTTAGGTTTGAAGGCGACGAAATGAACGCAGATATCTCTCTAACAAGTGGCGAGCAAAGGCAACATATGAATTTGATGCTTACCGATAGTATTAACACCTTCTAGTCCTTGTCCTTCGTTCAAGACTTCGTCTGCAATATGCAAATCACTGTCGGCCATGGCTGCCCAAGCATTTCGGGTAGAGTTCAATGATTGGGCCAGTGAATTCGACGCAATAATTTGGCGCGAAACGCGTGTATTGTCGCATGTGTTCAGCGGAATATATTAAATGTCTGTACTTCGTGTAAATAACTATAAATTTGATTGCGATTGGAGTCGAGTTTAAAAATCGAAATTCATTTTAGAAATCACCGAATCAGGTAAAAGATAGAACTAAAATTTGATAATACCATAAAAGTAACGGAATACTTCACCGCAAAATAAAAATAACGAAGTAAAACGTTACTTTTTGAATTTACTTCGTTCCAAGTAGAAGTACCCTGTCAAAAATTTACTTCGTTACTTGCTCACTTCTCAAAATTAGTACTCAAGTAAAGTAACGAAGTACATTTACTTCGTTACTTGTCACCACTGGTTAGGTACTTAGGCAGCGGCAATTGCTTCGCTAAGTGTTATCATCTAGCGCAATCGTAAGCAAAATATGAATAAAACATGAGTGCTGATGAATAAAACATAATGGCCGTTCTCGTTCTATTAAAGAGTTTTTTAAATGCAAAGAATTAGAAAGTCAATAGGAGGATGATAACCCATCTCTTTCCGCGTCTTCTGATGAAGAAACCGAACGTAGAGACCTTAGGCTTAGCGATTCGGCAAAGCAAGGTAGGTGCTTTTACGTTTTTAATTTATAGTATACGGGTAGTATAGTATATTTATGACTTTAGCGACTCAACATATTGCCTATTCTGTTTTATAAGCCAGTAAATCACTAAATCCTAAAGTGAAGAATATGTTAAAATATCTAAGTTATATATTTTACTTTATACTTATACTGCAGACGAAAGTTTTGGTGAAGAACACCAACCAATAACAGTCTTGGATAAAAATATTAATGATCATCAGGTATATTTATAATTTCTATATAAAGACTATAATCTATATATAAAGTTTATCAGTACTATAAAGACTATATACAGGTTAAGTATTTCAAACATAACTTATATTGTACTGGATTTTACTCGTATTACTGCTAGGTTTCAAACTTAATGTCAGCTAATCATGCACATACGAAATTCATTTTCCAGGGTAGTGCTAAATGCAAAAATATATGTTGTGCTGAAGACTCAAGCGAACCTTTTCAACCACGTTCTAAAACTATCCTGGAAAAAACATCTCAAGCTTCTGGTGTTGGAAAAAATTTTCGGGTTAGGACATTTCAAGTTGTTTGGTATAATAATTATTCTTGGATTACATTATGTGGCACAAGCTATTTAGTCTTCTGCCACTACTGTCGAAAAGCTAAGCAAAAAGGATTGTTGACATTCAGTTCAAAACAAGAAAAAGCCTTCACTCTGGATGGTTTTGGTAATTGGAAGAAAGCTCTTCAGCGGTTTAAAGAACATGAGAGTAGCCAATGTCATAAGGAAAGCATGGAGAAAATTATCCTAATGCATCAACCTTCAGTTGCTAGTAAGTTAGCAACTGAACTTGAAAATTCTCAAGCATTGCACCGCACATTGTTGAAAAAAGAGATATCTTCCATTAAATACCTTCTCAGACAAGGAATGCCTTCACGAGGTAAGAGACAAGAAGGCTGTTATTGATTATTTGATTTGGTTGTCCACACAACCAATACACTTGGCATGTTTTATAGGTTAATTAAATATAATTTTAGGACATAAAGATAAAGACGGAAACCTATATCAAATGTTGAAAACTAGGGCTGAAGATGTCCCAGAAATTTCAAAGTGGCTGGAGTTAAAGCGTTATCAGTCTCCCCAAATTGTAAATGAAATCATTTCTCTAATGGGCCAAGAAGTTCTGCGTGGGATTCTTGTAAAAATCCGCGAGGCAGGATATTTTGGTCTTATGGCAGATGAAACTAGAGATATCTCCAATAAGGAGCAATTGGTCGTTTGCTGTCGCTGGATAGATGAGTATTATAACATCCACGAAGATCCGTTAGGTCTATTCCAAATTTCAAGTTGCACAGCTGATTCAATTGTATCTCACCTAAAGGATGTTCTCGTTCGTTGTATTTTACCTTTAAATCAGTGTCGTAGCCAAGGATATGATGGAGCTGCGGCGATGAGTGGTAGATTTAATGGTGTTTCCACTCAAATTCAGCAAGAGGAACCACGTGCAATACCAGTTCACTGCTTGGCCCATAGCCTTAATTTGTGTTTGCAAGATGTGTGCAAGTCATTTCGTCTGATACAAGATGCCTTAGACTTGGTCCGGGAAGCTGTCCATATTGTCAACAAATCGCCAAAGAGGGCTGAAATCTTCAATGAAAAGCAAATGGAAGATGAGGAAACAATCTTTTATGGCCACCAGAATCTTAAACCTCTTTGCCCAACTCGTTGGACAGTTCGAAGTGACGCTATTAAAGCTGTCTTGGACAACTACGAGGCTCTAAAAGAAACCTGCAACGATGTTGTTGACGAAGATGGAGATGTTGCTCTAAAAGCAGATGGTATGCTTAGAAGACTCAAGAAGTTCTCAACTCTGTTTGGTTTAAGATTGTCCTACCTTGTGTTTAGTCCAGGTGAAGAATTATCTCGAACCTTGCAGAGTAAAGATTGCAACATCCAAGAGGCTATTAATTCTTCCAATCTTACAGGCAATTATTACAAGCGCATGCGTTCAGATAAAGAGTTTAACGGTTTCTACGACCGCGTAGTAAAGGAGTCCGAAGGTAAAACGAAAGCTCCATTTCTCGCGCGGCAACGAAAAGTACCAGCAAGATTTGATGATGGTGCTCCAGGGCATGACTTCGGCAGCCCAAAAGCATTTCACCGCCAGCAATATTTTGAAGTTCTCGATCTTGTATATCAAGAACTTGTTCGGCGATTTGACCAGAAAAGCTTCACGTTGCTTCGAGATATTGAACAACTACTTTTAAGAGCTGCCAATGGAAATCACTTTGTCATTAAAGAAACGATTTCTGACATTTACGCGAACGATCTTGACTTGGTTCGTCTGGAGTTACATTTGAAGATGCTGCCCGATCTGGTTAAATGTTCGAATTCTGCAGTGCCAATAAAGGAGGTCACCAAACTTGAAACCCTGTGCAGTTTAATTGCTGAAAATCCCAACAACCGTAAATTGTTTTCCGAGGTTGACAAGCTGCTTAGGCTATTCCTTACAGAGTTACAGTTCCAGCAACTAGCGCAACGGCGGAACGTACGTTCTCAGTGCTCAGGAGACTGAAATCGTACCTTCGCGCGACGATGGGGCAAGAAAGACTAAACAATGTCATACTGCTAAACATTTACCAGTCAGAGTTTGATGATCTTGACATCCATGGAATTGCAAAGAAATTTGCAGCCTGTCACGAACGTAGAAGGGCCTTTTTTGGCTCCTTCGATTAACAGTTGCGACTTTAGAATTTTGATAGCAGGACAATTCTTTCTAAATATTGTTAGTTACAGTTTTGCTTGATTCATTGATATAGCTTGTTATTATATTTGTTCTGATAAATTTTCATGGAAGTGTCAATTAAAATAAAAACAAGTGTGGATCGAACTTTCAACTTGCCTAGTCTTACGGATCCAAATTTTTTGCCTAGTCTTACGGATCCAAATTTTTTGGTGCCTTCACCGCATTAATATATTAAAAAAACGCACTGCATGTTTCGCTCAACCAGCTTACTGTCCATACTGAAAGCTTACTGTCCATACTGAAATAGGTAGATAGGGCTCTGAAATGGCCATTTCCAAGGATCTAGAGCCTCTAATTTTCACATCCCAATCTCGAATGTGTTCCTACGCCCCTGCTATAACTACAACTACTGTTTTAAAAAAGTAGTCAAAAACTACTGGCTACTTGAAAATTGTAGTTCGCTACAGTAGCGAACTACAACTACTTCGCTACAACCCACCCTTGCTAAGTTATAGTTAAAGGGGCTCTGACTCAGTCTGAGCCCCTTTAACTATAACTTAGTAGGCGATCACTCAGTCTTTCTTCATTACCTGTATATTTATTGTTGCAAAGCTCCGGTTGCGTCATAACGTGGGTCGTCTTCCACTAGCAGCGTACATTATGACGTAGTTTAATGTCACGTTTCATGCATTATCGATGGAAACTGACCACTTGGTCTCTTACATCCAACGTTATTTTCCCCTTTAATTGCATTACCGTTTCAGGCGAATCCACTTTGTAATTTAACTGGAAAACTGTCGGTCACCCACACTTTATATTTATTGAATGTTTTCATTCATTGAAACTTGTGAATTTTATTCATTATTAACTTACTTAATTTAAAAGCACGCAGAGTATCTGCAATCTCACAGGTGAAATGTCACGACATTCTTCAAGACTTTTAACGCTTCATTAATGACATCTTCAGAGTCACCTGGTTTCTCTTCTGCCGCGTTATTGAAACGATCTGCCATTCTTGTTATAGCCCAGGTCAACACTTGAGGATCGGTTTTTGTTATATCAATCACTCGTTTCATCAAAAGACAACCAGTCACCCCTTCTACTTCGTTTATTACAGATTTTGACACAAAGTTCCATCGGTAATAGTACGTATCACAACGAAGTATAGCATTGTCACTCCAGACAATAAACATATCAGTTGATTCGTACTCTCCCACGCTGTCATTACCAAGAACGGATTCTGCACCCAACTCAACAATAGACTCAAGTCCTCCGGAAAATAATTGATGGATCACTTTGGTCAAGTCTTCGCTTTCCTTTTTGTATCTGCGAAGCAGATATATATGCTATCGCAAACGTGCCGTGACCGTACCGTACCGTATCCCTAGCCATTCAGCGACGGGCTTATATAATTCAGCCAATTTATGCCAATTTAAGCCAATCAGCGATTCGTTTACATCAATTGTTTACATCGTGCCCGCATCTAACCAGCGAACGGGCATACTTTAGCCTCGTCAGGCCTCGTGTATAAATCGTGTTTTATATAGGGATGGGCGATACCAGCTTTTTCATTCGATACGATATTTGCTCGATATTTGCCGGGGTTTTTCGATATCGATACCGATATCGATATTTTCCCAACTTGAAATCATTAACAACAGCCACAACGCTAACAATATAAACATTGAATAATATATGTCAGTGATTGCAACCAACATAACCAGAAACTCCCATCCTTCCCGTGGACCATTATAGCACCATAGAAAATGAACTATTTACGCCTATTTAGGCTTTTTGGTATCATTTTCATGATGATGCCGCTGACCAAAATGAAAAATATCGCGGGCGCAGAAGTATCGAAACATCGATATTTCTTGCCAGTATCGATACTTTTCTTCAAAACCCTGGTATCGATAGTATCGAGTATTTGGTATCGATATCGGCCCATCCCTAGTTTTATATTCTTTCAAAAATATCTTGATATTTTTATCAATTTATCTTGAATTGAAGACAGCCAATTTGAATGAACTTGCGATATTATTCCGACGTTATTTATCAACATGGAATCTTATCATAGAAATAATAGACATCTAATATTTCTATGAATCTTATCCTCATCTGGTAAGTAGTGAAATACCACATATTATTTATTTAAATACCAAATTTGTGCAAATGTATGTCCAACATATTTTATAAGTTTTATAATTAATACATGAGTTCGCCAGTTCGGCAAATATTTACTATACTATCTATAGTATTATTGCCGTACATTCGGCGTAGAGTTTACATGGAATGCACTCTGGAATTTTTTATTAATATATTACACTGTTAAAATATTGGATATTTTCGAGGATATTTTAAGCTATTTGTCAACATAGTTCGCAAAAAGATTTATACAGTATTAAAAACAATCCTTCTGTGACTTCTGTAATATTTTAAACAGTGAAAACATTCTCAGGAGATATTGAATTAAATCCTGGTCCTGTATTTCTGTATATTGACGCCATAACTCTGTTCAAAACAACAGTCCAGCTATAAAGCTGTCATCAAATGTTGTAGTGTTAGAGCAAAGGTTGAAGATGTTATCAGTTAAAATACTTATGCATTTTGGTTTTACACATTAGAGTTAATTAAACAAAATTTTTACAAACATTTTCAAATAAAAGAATCCTCACCCTCCCGAGCCTCATTACATTGTCATTTTGCTTTCTAACATAAATATTTTTCTTTAGAGATTAATACAAGAATGAAGAATAAATGTACTGGATATTGGCTGGATAATTTTGTCAGAACAACCAACTTGCAAGACAATCTTACCTAAATTCATTAGTATGGAAAATAACTTAACAGCTACAATGAGTAATCATATATTAAATATATGGTGGATTTGATCAATGGCACACAATGTACAAAACTAAACTTGTGATACCTTCTACTCGAGTGTCCCTGTGTGTCGTGGGTTAAAAGTCGTGTGTCGTGGGTAAAGTCGTGGGTATAAAGTCGTGGGTAAAGTCGTGAGTCATAAAAAGTGTTTTCGAGAAAGAAAGAAAGAAAGGATTTGTTGTCAATATTAAAAATGGAAGGTATATTAATTTAAAAACCGAAATTGCCAAATTCAAATTTTAAAATGTGGATCAAGGAAAACTTCGAAAAGATAACTTCAATCAATTTATATAACGTAATTACAGTGAAGCAAAATTGAATAAATATACGTAAACTTAAATAGAGTAAACTAAAATATGCAAACAAACCTGAATCGTGCCTGAAAGTCCACCACAAATTGGAAATCAAAATTTTGAACAAGCTCGAAAATTCTCTGCACTCGTCTCTGAATATTAGCAGATCCGTTTTATAAACTTTACACACAATGTGATCTACCTAACTCCCTTTTCGGTGTAGATTATTTAAACAATTTTCCAGTATATGCTGTAAAACAGCAGACAAGTACCGGTCCACAATCTATCGCTTTATTCTTTTTCGAAGCAACAGGCGCCATTCAGTAATTCACTCACATGGCATGGCATGATTGGCACAAGCGTCACGCAAGCACATCACGGATGGCACGCGCAAAACATTAGGCGTTTATTTCCAGTCCCTGTCTTCTGGATTGTCTATGTTACTCAACAGTTAACATTGGCAAGTGTAAACAAGTGACATAACTTTTGCTTCATATGATTACAATAAAGTTTTGAAAATTTGATGAGTATGGATTGAATTGACAGGTGACAGTTTACTAAATAGCTGGCTGTATAGACACTTTGAATATTGTTTGCATGAATTTTTTATTTCCTGACTGCATAATTATCTGTTACAATCATAATCACATTATAAAGTTAGTTAAATTTCCTCGGTGCGGGGGTGGGGGGTGGTTGTACTTGCCCTGCTGCACTCCCCGCTGTGTACAGCCCTGTTTTAAATCTTATCTGCCATTATAATAAGTGATGAAATATTTCAATTGTCCCATGTCATCTTCATTATTCAGTTTCTTTCAATAAAATACAAAATGTGAATCAAGTTTTTTCGCAGATACATGTACGCGGTCGCGTACCTATTTTTTCTATTAACTATGGTTTGTACTATAGGTTCAAGGATTTTAATTGCTTTAATTAATCGGCGATTATGATAATTAACCAAATTTTACCATCTTTCAGGTAATACTTGACTTGGACCAGCGGCTACCCATTGACGTATCCAGGTTATAGATTCATGTCTCGCTATTTATAATGCTAACCCTAATCCCGGGCCAGACCCCACTCTAACCCTAACCGCTAACCCTATTAGCGAGACATGAATCTATATCCCGTATCCACGTATCTAACATTACATACGATACATTTTTATACCTTTATTATTAATGACAACATTTTCGGGAAGGGCTATAAATTAAGTTCTTTGTAGGTTTGCATGGCGATAAAACATAATACTTTTGTTTGTGGAAACACGACGTAAATTTGACTTGTTTTCTTCCTTTTTTGTCATTGAAGTGAG